CCTGAGTTTCATTTCTGGAACCCACATGGTTGACTTCTGCTAATCAGAAGACTGGCCCACCTTCTCAGGAAGGTGGGAAAATGGACTCTAGTTTACTTACTTACTTTTCTGGTAGTAGAAATTGAACCCCAGGCTGGCGGTGGTGCTGCTCAGGAGGCAGAGCCAGGCGGATCTCTGTGAGTTCGAGGCCAGCCTGGTCTACAGAGCGAGATCCAGGACAGGCTCCAAAACTAAAAAAAAAAAAGAAAGAAAGAAAGAAATTGAATCCAAGTCCTTGAACATATTAGGCAAATATGCTCCTGAGATTAACTCCAATCTATTCTCCATTTCTTGCTTTTTTAAGAAAACAGTGATGTACAAACAGATATGGACACAGGAAGGAATGACATTGTATACAAGTACTAATTTATAACAAGACTTAGATTGTTTAGTACTTAGTCTGAAAAAACAAACTATGCACATAAAAAGAAAATAGTGGAATTTCAAAAATTAAAAGTCATCAAAATAATTGTTTTCATTAAGCATGCAACCAGAATACTTTGCTAGTGAGCTGGGCCCCAGGTTGGATCCCCAACAGCACATAAACCAGTGGCAGGAGAGCATCCCTGCAATCACAGCACTTAGGAGATAGAGACAGAAGGATCATAATGTCAAGATCATCCTCAGCGATCTAGGTCAAGGCCACCCTGGGATAAAAGAATGACAACAAAAAAAGCAGCTTTTGAGGAAAAAGTCCATCATTTCAAGTGCCACATATTTATCTGTAATTTCCTTTATCAGTGTTAGAGTAGCATGGAATTAATATCGAAGTCTGGTAGTTAGTTGGCAAGTCTGTGAAATATGATCTCTGACTTATTTTATTTTTTAATTAATTAATTTATTTATTTATTATGTATGCAGAAATGGGTGCCAGATCTCATTACAGATGGTTGTGAGCCACCATGTGGTTGCTGGGACTTGAACTCAGGACCTCTGGAAGAACAGTCAGTGCTCTTAATCTCTGAGCCATCTCTCCAGCCCTTATTTTATTTTTGAGACAGGGTTCTACCTTAGTCATCCAGACTATTATTGTACTGGACTCAAAGGATCTCAGCCTCCCCAGTATCTGGGACTACAAAGATAAACTACTCCTGAATTAATTTTTTAAATCGCTTAATTAAAAAAATTTTTTTTGAGGCAGAGTTTCTGAATCCACTCTGTAGACCAGGTTGTCCTTGAACTCAGAGATCCACCTACCTCTGCCTCCTGTGCTGGGATTAAAGGCATGTGCCACCATTGCCTGGCTAATTTTTATTTATTTTTCTGAACTTTTTTTTTAATACAATAAAACCTCACAAAATCAAAGTAGCAGGTGGGGTAAATCTCATCGAATAACAAAGGTTTAAAAATACTGAATTTCTGCTGGGTGATGGTGCATGCTTTTAATCCCAGAACTTGGGAAGCAGAGGCAGGCAAGTCTCTGTGAGTTCGAGGCCAGCCTGGTCTACAGAGCGAGTTCCAGGACAGCCAGGGATACACAGAGAAACCCTGTCTTAAAAAACAGAAAACTGAATTTCTGAAGAAATGCCTTTAATTTCAACAGTACTGGGGTAGTTTGATTTCATAATACCAGGGATTATCTCAGGGCTCTTACATGCAAGTACCCTGCCACTGAGCAGTAAAAAAAAAAAAAAAAAAAGAAAAAGAAAAGAAAACATTATTATGTTAGTGTGGAGGGTGGGGGTGGGGTGTAGCGCACCGTGCCAGGATGCACATGTGGAAATGAGTGGACAACTCGCTTGAGTCAGTCCAGGAACTGAACTCAAGTCATCAGGGTGGACAGCAAGTGCCTTCATTGGTTGAGCCATCTCAGCAGCCCCTCACCCCTTTTTTAAAACTTTATTTTTGATACAGGGTCTGGCTAAGTTGCCTGTGCTGTCTTTGAACTCAGTTCCTCCTGCCTTACTCTTCATATCTGTTTGGTCCTCAAACATTTTGCCAAAAGCCCATTATAGCCAGGTGGTGTTAGCCTTTAATCCCAGCACTTGGGAAGCAGAGGTGGGCAGATCTCTGAGAGAGTTCCAGGACAATGGGGCTACATAGAGAAACCCTGTCTCAAAAAACAAAAACAAAAACAAACCAAAACAACAACAACAACAAAAGCCCATTATAGAGAGATGGATCAGCTGCCCATAGCACTTACTACTGAGTTCAGATCCTATTATCCACACTGAGTGGCTCACAACTGCCCGTAACCACACCTCCAGGAGATCTAATGCTCTCTTTAACCTTCTGAGGGCACTTGCACACCTACAGCAGATACACAAACAGATATGTAAATAAATAATACTTTTTAAGACCTCACTATAGGATGACCATACCTGATAATCAGGCATTCAAGGTCCTCCTCTGCTAAAATGTAAGTTCAAGACAAGCCTGAGCTACATGAGATCTTGTCTTAAAAGTGAAAATAACAACAAAAAGACTCCTTTATACATTTTAAAAGTATTGGAAGACCCAAAAGTTCTCACTTATATAGTTTGTGTGGATGGATGTTGATATTCTCCATATAGTAGCAATTAAAGCTAAGAAACATGGCATGGCCGAGTAGCCAGTAATTCCAGTAGAGTAGCATGTAAGACATGAGGATCCTGGGTTCAAGACCAGCCTGGGCCACATTGAGAGTTTAAGGCTCCTCCTCCTTCTCCTTTTTTAAAATTTGGAAATGTGTAGGAATGAGTGACTCATATTTGTAAAAATTAGTATTTATACTAAATTACTAAAACTAAAATTTTAGTTTTAGATTTATTTTACATTTATGGGTGTTTTGCCTGCATGTGTAGTATGTCAATCAAATATGTGCCTAATGCCCAAGGAGGCCAGAAGAGGGTATTGGATTCCCCTGGAACTAGAGTTGGGGATGGTTGTGAGCCACTATGTGCGTGCTAGGAATCAAATCAGGGTCCTCTGCAAGAGCAACAAGTATTTTTCATTCTTAAGCCATCTTTCCATTGA